GATCCTCCGGATACGGCCCAAGCTCCATCAGGAACCTCTCAGGGTCCATCAGTCGCCTGGGACGGAACCATCTAGGCGGTTCCGTCTCCCTGTGGCGTGGGGGAGCGGTCCGGAAGTCCAACCTTAGGAGAGAGTGATCTGACCATGACAAGGGCTCAACAACTATCTCCCCTATTGTCAGATCATTCTGCCACTGGCCTGAGACAAAAATTAGATCCAGCGTGTGTCCATCCGTGTGAGTGGGGGCCTGAATTAATTGGGTCAAGTCCAAGGCCGTCATGGAAGCCAAGAACTCCTGAGCTACTGCCGACGTCTCACCCGCTGATGGAAGGCTGAAATCCCCCAAGACCATAAGTCTGGGGGTCCCAACCGCCACCCCGGCTATCACGTCTGATGAAATATAAAAAGCTCTGCAGAATCATGACGATCTTCTCATGCTATTATGAAAACATTATACGGTCTTCCAGGCAATATGGACTTTCGTGCTACACTGATAGTAGCTACATGGTGAAAGAGAATTTAAAAGACAAGAAAGCGATGCCACTTTTACCTGAATTGTTTGAGTAATTGATACATATTTGTTTGCTTTGCGGAGTTTGTACAGAGCCTATTGCTTCACGGTTTGAGATTTACAGAGTTTTTGCTTATTTGTTTTTATGATGTGAATTTTGAAATAGTAAAAAGTGGTGAGAATGATATGAAAAGCCACCTTGCAGAGGGAAAATGTTTTACTAATGTTATTTGTAAATAAATTTCTTCCAATACAAAATGTGTAAAAAAATATCGGTAGTCCTTGTTTAGCGACCAAAATTGCAACCAGCAGCTCTGCTAAGTAAAGCAGGCGTAAGTGGGAAATCATGTAACTGTAACTGTGTTTTCCCTTTCTTCACTTCCCCACCCTTTGAAATGCTCACCCTTGCCCGTGGTTTGAAATGGACAAAACTAATCAAATTCACACCTTTCACTTTTGTTTGTAGGGCACCAGCCACCATGAGCACACTATGCAAACAGCTAGATGTATTTTGTTTTGTATGATTTGTATGTTTCTCTTGTAATCCCTTCCTCTCTAATCCTCTGCATGAGGGAGAGAGGAAAAAACCAAGCCAGTCACAGGACAGAAATCATTTGGTATATATCTTTGGATTGGCATATACTTATTAGTAGCTTAGTTTATATCCTCTCTTTGGTGACCACCTTCTGTTCTAATGACATAGTCATAAGAAAAATGGTTGCTAAGTGAACGCATGATTGAGAGGGAAAAAATGCTGAGAAGATCAATGGTTGTTGCCATGTTGTGCAGATAAAGTTCTCTCCCACAGTGTCCTGGGCCTGATTCTCCCCCCCACTTTTTGCCCCTGTTGCAAGATGGAGAAATTGCTTAAACAAGCTATCTCTTCCTGAGCTGCTTCTCTCTGCAGCACAGCACTTCCCTAAAGTTCTAAGGGCAAGTTAATAAGATCAGCTCTATGACCTTAATTAGTTGACTAGACTGATTAAAATCTAGTCAGTTTCAAGAAGCAGAGAAAGGGAGTCCACCCTTTCTCTGTTTCTTGAAACTGACCAGATTTTAATCAGTTTCACACTGAAGGCTTCTGTTGTCTTCAATGTCACCCAGCTGCCATTTTGTCTAAGGTGGCACTAGAACCCATAGTCCCCATCAGAAACAGTCATGTTTTGCTCTTGTCTAATTTCCTTCAATAGTCATTCTAAAGTTCTATATTTCTATTTCAGTTCTATAACATGAGCACTTATTATTGTTTTAGTGGTGAGTCTAAAAGCTGGGAATCATGACAACTCACGTAACGCTGGAGGATGCTCTGTCCAACGTGGACCTATTGGAGGAGCTGCCATTACCAGATCAGCAGCCATGCATCGAGCCACCTCCATCATCCATTATGTACCAGGTAACAAATATTACCTCACAATCATACTTTAAAGTAACTCATCAACTCATGCTTTGAAGAGAAGAAAAAAGTTTGTCAATGGGGAAAATATTAGACAGTTCCAAGAGGCAGATAGAATAATGTGGAATAGGACAAGAAAACAAGAAGACTTAAAGAAGCAGGAAAAGAACGTGAATCATGGGATAGTTTGGCTATAAAGCTGTATCCTCATTTAGTGGCATGGAAACAAGTTAACGCCTCCTTGTACTCATATTTTTCCTCCTTCAGCAGTTTGGAAATGTTTGGTTCTTCTTTTAATTTACTACGAAGTTGTCTTGTTTGAATCTGGTGGAGAAATATTAGTGGAAATTATATAAACTGGCTTCTTTTGACAAATCAGTTAAAATTAGTTGTTGCACACACTTTTAAGAGGTACAAGCTTGGCTAAACGTATGCTTCTAATATCAAAATATGTTTTTGCTGTTATAATAAACAATCCATAGTTTATTATGGAACAGTTCTATTGTTTCTTCTTTAAGTTCAACAAATCTGTATATTGATATAATCCATAGCAATCCTTCTTAAAGTGTGATCCTAGGATCCCATCAAACAATTGTGAGAAGCTGTAGTATCAATGTCATTTCTACCAATGAATGCAAAATTTTAATAAGGTAAATACCAATAAATATAATCATAAAACAAAATGTTTTTTAAAACTTTTCCCTCTGGTTTCTGCACATGGATATCTGCATAGAGGGATTAAAAAGATGATTTTGTAGTTATGTATATACCCTAGTGATCAAATGATATATGAAGTTATCATTATATAATGCAATGTACACTTGATCTTAGCCAAACAGCCAAGTAGCTAAATCACTAAATCATTGTAAGGCTAATATTAATTTCCATTTTTATTCTTGCTTTTATTCTGATTTTATCTTATTGGTACAGTAGTACTGTTCACTGCCAGTTGTTTTTAATATTAAGATAGATACATACTTTACTTTCTGTAATCTGATAACTGTTTTATAGCTGCTTAAGTTTTTTTATGCATTACTTGTATCAAGTTTTATATTTTCCATTTTAAATGGTTGCACATGCCAAGATAACTCTTACAACAGGGCAATGGAAAATCTCTGAAAACAAATGAAAATGTAAATAGAATGTCTAACTCTTTCTTGATCTGCTTTCAGGCCAACTTTGATACTAATTTTGAAGACAGAAATGCTTTTGTAACTGGCATTGCAAGGTACATCGAGCAAGCAACAGTGCATTCCAGCATGGTAGGTATCAGCTGATCCAGAGCTGACTGAAGGGGATGCAGGGTCTACTGTTATGTGACAACTAGCGCTGTTATATTGTCCCATTGTGTTTCAGAATGAGATGTTGGAGGAAGGGCATGAATATGCAGTAATGCTTTATACTTGGAGGAGCTGCTCCAGAGCTATTCCCCAGGTAAGATGTGCAGTTAAATTGTAATCCACTTCAATCAGAGAGAAGTTTCTGTCTGCTATCAAGAAGAAATTGAAATATACTCTGAGAATGCTATAAGCTTCTCTTTTTCTTAGCAGACAAACTCTAATAACTTATAAGACCCAAGGAATAATAGTCTTCTTATGTTAATGCCATAACATATGGGCCACTATGACCAGCTTTTGACTACCAGTATTTCCAAAGAAACAAATCACTAGTACATGAACATTTACTCAAATAATGATTTTATTTCTTATTTAACCTACTATGGACAGCCAGCGTAGTGCTGGATTAGAGTGAAGACACATGTTCTAGTCTACACTTAAGCACAGAATCTGGTTGGGTGAATTTGAGCCAATCAATCCTAGACTGGGACGTTGATAAGCGTTTCACTACAAACTCACATTGGATCATTGTGTAGATTACACTGCATAATCTTAAATAAAGAGGCTTTCATCCTGCAGTTGTGACCTGGGACTTGATAGGTGGACAAAAATACCAAATACAGTCTAAGCATTTGGCTGACTGTGCAACCAACCATAATAATCTATTTTATGCTGTGTTGTAGTATTAAATGTATCTAGAACAGTATGCATAGCTAATAAAATAAGTACAAATACAAATATATGTGTTGTATAGACAACAAACACAATTATAGTAAGTAAGTAAAATGTAAGTAAAATGCAGTTTGGAATGAAGAGATGAGTTTTCAACAAGCTAAATATAAAAGACATAAAAGGATTTGGCTTGTGAATGCTATTCTTTGGCAAGAAAAATTAGGTATAAATTAACATAATAAATGAAGTAAGTATCAGCAACATTGGTTCATTCTAATCTAGAGAACAAATTGTGTAAAACGCATGATCGTGTAAATGGTGGAATATGATTCCTAGTACTAATTACTTTCTTATACTCTTCTCATTTTTCTCATTTATAAGCCTTTTATCTGACAACTGATTATGATAACTTCCTTTGTCCATGAAAGTCCATCCCATTCTTAAATTAGTTTCATCCAAAAAGTGCTCCAAGATGTTTTGTTCTTGGTACATTAGACTTTTAAAACTATCCCTTTAGAAATGATCTTGTCCATGAGGACGACTAATATCAAATTGTTATATTGACCTTCAGGTAAAGTGTAATGAGCAGCCAAACCGAGTAGAGATTTATGAGAAGACAGTGGAAGTCTTAGAGCCAGAAGTCACAAAACTCATGAAGTTCATGTACTTTCAGGTAGGTGTTCCAAATTCATGTGCTTCACTCCGGTCCCCTTCACCTGTTATTCTGGCCCACCCAGTTACTGTACAGATGAAAATATATCTTCTATTTTTTCTTGGTCCAGAGTTACCCTGTACTAAGATGGGTGGCCAACTAATTTGATAAATAAAATACCATTTTTGTAGTAAACCTACCTGAGGTATGGTGATTTTGCTAAGTGCTTAATATTGTTCATGTTCCCATATGGCATCTTATTTTGACTTAATTAGTAAAAGGGCAATATCTAAAATTATATGAACACATTTCTACTGATTGTATCCATTCCCATTCATATATACCTGTACACTTCCCAAACTTGTTTTGAAAGACATAATACTCTCCAAGAGGTAGATTTGATACTGTCGGGGAAAGCCAACATTCAGTCTGCTTGCTATTTTGTCAACAAATGAATGTTATTGGATGCCACACAGACAGTACTCAAGCTCTTGTTAATATTGGCTGACCTTTCCTTCTGCTTGCCTAAAAAGACTAGTTACACAGATGTGGGAAAACTGTTCTCTAATCTAATGTGAGGTTCATTGTGGTAGGTTTTGAAAGATGTTTAACTGCACCGCAAATCATAGTCCAAATAAGCAAACCCAAGGACATGACCCCAGATAATGAAAGCCTTTTAAGTTGGAAGATAATATGATAGAAACAGACTAAACTAAAAGTAACAGGAAAAATACTTTAAATACTACTTTATATTGAACACTATCGTAGCTGTGGGCTACTCAAAGCACATAAACACACATTTAGGGGATACCATAGAATAAAAATATTGTGGTGTGGTTGTCACTTTTTGCTTAATTGTGTCACATGAACACAATTCAGATACAGGTTCATTTTCCTTTCTAGTGTAAGTCTGTTTATCTATTAGCATATCTAAAATTAGGTTTTTAAAAGAATTAAACAAGAGGAATACAGATTCCAATTTCTTTCTTGAAATTCCTTTGTCAATTGAAGCCCATTTTTTTTCCAGCAGTCCATGTAATACAATTTTCAGCAAATGAAATTAGGTATGTGACTGCCAGGTAAAGAGGCACCATTCAGCTATTCTTTTCTCACAGGAGAAAAGTGTAGGTGTCCCAAAGGCTTTTGGGTTGATGGGTCTCCTTAAAAGTTTGACAATGTGCCATGGGCACTTTCCCGAACTGGTTCAAACTGAGGAAGATATTTGCTTAGCCACATTCTCTAGAGGAACACTAAATAAAAATGTCAATTTTCGAATAGGTCGTTTGGTGAGGCTTTAAAGAAAAAGCAAATAATCCAACTACCAAATGAAGAAAAAAAAATCAAAATCAAGGCCAGAGCTCCCAAAATTCATCCCCACAGTGTGGGGACAGCAGGCTAATGTGGATGCTAAGGAAAATATCTCCAACATGTACTTTAAAAAAAAATAGAAACGAAGAAAGCAAAATATGCATTATGCCAAAAGCAAAGCCAGGAAAAAATGCAAGTCAGCCACCACACACAAATCCATAAGGAAAACAGGGCATAAGAGCTGGTATACGAAAACAAATACTTCACAATGATACATTTAACATACCCAAAAGAAATCCTTCTTTTTCCATTTTCCAGACTCCTGGGATGCTTCTTAGTACTTCCTCTGCTTGTTTGGATTGTTTTCTGGCTATCACAATTTGGGCCAATTTCCATTTTTAGTTTCTTAGAATGCTTCATGAGGCCCGGTTTGTTGAGGACACTGGATCAACTAGATGAATAAACATCAACATCCCTTGTCTATGGAGATTCTCAGTCATCCAGGTCATAGTTATCCCAAAAGTGCTTTTCCACGAGACAACTGGATTTTCTTGTTTTTCTCTGAAGACGTTTCACTTCTCATCCAAGAAGCTTCTTCAGCTCTTCAGATGGGAAGCGAAACGTTTTCAAAGAAAAACAAGAAAGTCCAGTTGCCTCGTGAAAAAGCACCTTTGGGATCAACATCCCTTGACTCTTTAGGAGATGACAAATTCAAATTTAGACCAGAGCTGGTGGAATCCCATGTACTTAATAAAGCCTCATTTCTCACCAATTACTGGCAGTTTCTCCCCTTTTACTCCTTCTTTAAATTATTGCTGTCTTACTATTTCTTAGAGAAAGGCCATTGAACGATTCTGTGGTGAGGTCAAGCGTTTGTGCCATGCAGAGAGAAGGAAAGACTTTGTTTCAGAAGCATATCTACTGACCTTGGGAAAGTTTATCAATATGTTTGCAGTCTTGGATGAACTGAAGAACATGAAGTGCAGTGTCAAAAATGACCATTCTGCTTATAAAAGGTGAGATTCGTATGTATGTATGTATTTTATAGGGCGTATTGCTGGGATCTTTGGAAATATGGCCAGTGTTTTTTTTCAAAGTTAATAGTATTTAGTCATGGAATAGAGGCTTCTGAATCCTGTTTTGTGTCAAAATATATTTACGGTGAAGTAAAGATAATGAAACAGCATTATTGTAGTCCTTTTGTAGCCCCTTTTTATAAATCTGTGTTACTCAGCCATATGATGGCATCGTGTTCCAACTTATCAACAAAATTGAGTTTCTCTTATTTTTCAGAGCAGCCCAGTTTTTAAGAAAAATGGCTGATCCTCAGTCTATTCAGGAATCACAGAATCTCTCCATGTTCCTAGCAAACCATAACAGGATCACCCAGGTAGAATATTTTTTATCTTTTCTCACATAGTATAATACGTTAATAAATTTACTTTGACCTAACATGTATGCTTTGGTCTCCAATTCTAAGGACACAGTACATCATAAGAAGTATTTACAACCATAAGGCCTTATTTGTATTTGGGACTTTTGTTTTATTAAATGCAAGTTGTTACATGGGAAATCAATCATCTTGGACTATTTATGAAGCCCTGTGCATTATGAAATAAATATAGGTGTCACTTGTACAACTTCATTCGTCAACTCCATGAAATAGCAAACACCGTGCAAGGCTTTTAAACACATTTCCATAGCAACCAAATACTGTGGTTTTTATCTATACAACAGATGCGTTCACACACACATACAGATACATACACACACACACACATACACAAACAAATGCACAAAATCAGGAATACACCCTGCTAATAATCATTTGGCATGATCCATTGAATTTCCTGTCTCTATTCCATTTCAGCAGAAGAAAATATATATAGCTCAGGGTTGAACTATGGAGTTCTTGGTGTTTCTGGGCTTGATTGTTTGCTTACAGACATTTCATTATCCAACTAGGTAACATCATCAATGTGATGGAGAGTAGGGTGTGCTGCCTCTTTATGTATAGTAACTTGCCCTGTCCAGTTTTTTATTTTTTGCAGGAGGGAGATGTTTGATAGAGATGGGGAAACAGAGAGCACCAAGTACTCCACTCTGTTCCTTTTTTTTTTTTTACACAAACATTTAAATTATTGCTTTTGCAGCCTTTGTTAGCAACTAACTTTCGCAAGCTACTACATGTAGAATTGGTTAGTGCAGAAGTCAAAAGCATTGCCTCTTTAAAAAGAATGGTGGTAGCAGAAATACATCAGGAGTAGGCAGATGATAGGATATAGTAGCTATAGGAAAAGAGAGGTTTAATCTTTCTATATCAGCCTTAGTTACATTGAGACTCCTGGGAAAAATGCAGCTCCTCTCTCTAGCAGTTTTGTTGCTGTTGGCATTGCTGCACACATGTTTCTACACTGCATACAACTATTTAGAGCAAAGGTAGTATTTGATGTAAGCAGTACTTACTTAAGTTAATTCATTGCTTATACACAGCAAGAAAGATGCTAAATTAAACTTTACAACCTTTCATTTTGTTCTCACTGAAAATTAGTGAGGGTCTTGTGGGAATTTTTTTTAAGTGCCTGCATCAGCAACTGGAAGTGATCCCTGGTTATGAAGAACTGTTGGCTGATATTGTCAACATCTGTGTGGATTACTATGAAAACAAGATGTACTTGACACCCAGCGAGAAGCATATGCTCTTAAAGGTAATTTCTTTCAATTCTTCACAAATGTCTTTTAGCCATCTCAGTTTTTCCCAAGTACTTTGTGATGTCTATTTTCATGATGCATGCCTTGGGGGGGGGGGGTTGGCATTTTTTTCTCTTTTTAGATTGTATACTTCTTGAATACATTTTTTCTTTTTCTTTCTTTCAAACAGTAACTATTAAATGACTGTAACAAACATTCAGATGCTGCTTTTATACTTAGATTTTAACTTCTCTATGAAAAGACAACTTCTGGATTATTAAAAGGAAGATTTAAAATTATTAAAAGAACATACATTAAACAAAAGTCTTTTTCAGAGTCAGCTTGAAAATCCTTCTTTCTTTATATAAGGTTGGAAGCCTATGGGTCAAAGAAAGCCCCCAATCTTTGTGTGTGTGTGTGTGCACTTTCTACAAAGTATTGCATTTCCAGTGCAAATGGAAGATGTATAAGCAAGCCAGGGTAAAATATCTTTACATTCAGAGAACAGCTGCCAGTATGAGTGGACAATACTGACTAACTGGGCAAATACTTTGAAGCAATTTAAGGAAATTTGTACTTCCTACAAAGGAAAATTAAAATGTATTTTAAAAAAATATCTAAGATTACATTTAGTTTGTGACTAACCATAACATGATATTTTTTTAAAATTGAAAATTTGTTCATGGAATATACTCTTTTTCCTTCTTTCAAATAGTAACTATTAAATGGGTCAAGCATTCAGATGTTGCTCGTATTTTTCTTTTAGGTGATGGGTTTTGGTCTGTATCTGATGGATGGAAATGTCAGTAATATTTACAAATTAGATGCCAAGAAGAGAATCAACCTCAGCAAAATTGATAAATTCTTCAAGGTCAGTGTCTGGCTTGGCTCTGGTTCATGACTATTTCCAGAAGAACCCAAAACTATCTGTATTGGTACTATCTAGAGATAAAGCAAACACAGAAGAATTTAACATGCTGGAACCAAAGGTGTGATTGAATCGCAAACATCTGAATATTTTACTGCTGCATAATTGAAAATTTTAAGCAATTAAGGGGTTTTATTTTGTGTGTTTTAACAGCATGCTAATATTTCTGCAAAAAAAATGTTCTGATAAAATCAGATTCATGCAAATTAATTCCATATCTACCAGATTTCACCTCTGCACAATAAACTCTAACAATCAACATCAGGGCATGCATCATAGACAGGAATTCTTCTGTTTCTTCTTCAGGGAAAACCTTGTTCCTACAGTGGATATAGCTACTGTACATATTAGGACAATAGGTTGATCATCTTTTAGATAGTGGTGATTTTTTTAATGGAGTGTGAGTTACAGTGCACAAGCTTGTCCATTCAGATACTTTTGTTTTTAGTTTTCATTTTTTAAATTAAATACAGAAAACAAAGAAAAAGAGAATGCACAAAATTACATCAGAAGGAGGGAACTAAAACAAAAAACAAAAATATACAGGGTGTGCATATTTATAGATACGCATACATCAATAAATGGAAACTGTGGCATCCATTCAGGTACTTTCTGAGTAAAATTAGGTGTGGATAGAGGGAGAAGAAAGAAAGTCCTTATGGAATTCACTGTAATGGCTGATTGTAAAACACATAATTTGATTGGTTCTTTTTTCTGATTTACTTCCCTCTGTCCCTTCTTTTTAAAAAAAATTCAATTGTGCATTATTCTCAGCCCGGTACCAAACTTTTAAAAACATGGTAATGCTAACTTTGACTCATCTCCGAGAGTTAAGAAGGGATGGAGCTGCTGAGAAGTCATGCTGTATTTTCTGTTCTATAGTACAACAGTGAAAGCTATCCAAAAATGCCAAGGCTGTGGAAGAGACTAAATTGCGAAGTCTAAAAAAAAGTATCTCAAAAAAATATATCTCCAAACAGATGCACCAGAGAGGCCATCGAAAGTTAAACTCAACTGGAGAGAAACTTTATCATCATTTATTTTATAAACTAAAGCTAAACTGCATAAAAAGTGTTCTGATTGTTTCACTCTTGCTTGATTTATCTATTAGCAACCAGATCAAGCAACAGCGAGTGGTTTTAGATAACAGATTTGTATAAATACAGTATATTACCTGCTGATCTCAAAAATGTCCAACCTAGAATTTGCTATAGGTTTTGCCAAGAATATTTGGACTGCTTAGAATAGTCGGACCTGCTTGTAGGTAGAAATTTCAACCCATCTTAAAAAAATATGACTACTCAACTGTAAAAACTAGGTATCAGTCGTGTGTACCTCTTGTATCAGCATGAAAAAGTGTCTGGCCATTTTGCCTGCTTCTTTCAAAAGACAGAATTTATTACGGTACTCTTTCATACTGTGGTGCGTTTTAAACAAAGGATGTAGCATTTCTGCTGCTTAAAAATTTTGGAGAAATGAAAGGGGATCGTTCATAATCATTTACGATTGTTTGCAGAAGTTTTAAAGTTTCCAAATAGCATCTGCTGTACATAAGTGGCCAAACATAGTTCCTATTATCAGGGCAACAGATTTTTGCTGTGAACCTTGAGGTGCCCTCTCCAGTGGCTCTTTTTACAGCAATTCAATCTGCAGCATTGCTAAATGCTTGTTCTTGAAAATTCATTAAAATAAATGCTTTCCATTGTTAAGTTGAACTCAAAAACTACATTGTAGCTGCATGACCTCTAATTACTAGTTACTAACATTCTACCTACTGCTGTTCAAACATAATAATGTGTTTCATTTAGTAAATAAAGGAAGACAACATCTTTTGGTAAATATTATCTATTATCAGGCTAGTCTTGGCCCACCAGCAAGGTCAATTGCTAAGGATCTTGTTTAATTAAATAAACAGATTTTAAACTGAGGTATTTGTATACTTGTTCGACTTTACCATACCTTGAAGCTATTGCCAAGTTCCAGAAAGTATTCCACAGTTCACGCACATCCCTGTGAATGAAATCTACATGTTAACTGATTTACATGTTTCATTTTTCCTCTTGCAGGCAGAGGTTAAAGTGATTTCCTGCATTTCTGGAAATTATGGAAATTAATTAATTATGGAAATATTAAATTTAAATTAATTTCTTCCATAAACTTAATATTTGGAGTACAAGAATTTCAAAAGTGACAGGTACCCAAAGTTTATAGTCCTCATTATCACATGAAGGCCACTTGATTCTTGTATCTGTTTAAAAAATAGTGTTAAATCTATGCCAAGCATAGTGTAGAGCTATTCTAAAACGTATTAAATATCTGAGTTAGATTCTATTTTCTTCAGTTACCCAATACCATTTCCATATACAGGTAGTCCTTTTAACCCACAGTAATTGGGATTGCTAAGCAATGCTATCATAAAGCACAATATCACATGACTATGCCAAATTACCTCAGCAATTCTGGCAGTCCCAGTTGCCCTTGTTAGGCTAATCCCACATGGTTGCAATGTCCCACCGTCATGTAGTCGCCATTTGTGATCTCCTGCCAACTTCCCCATTGACTTTGCTTGTCTGAAGCTGGCAGTGAAGATTGCAAAATGTGAACATATGACCGCAGAACGCCGGAATGTCATAATTGCAAGTTGGTTTCCAAATGCCCAAATTGTGATCACTTGATCATGGGGCCTCTGTGGTGGCCACTACTATGAGGACTAGTCACAAGTCTCTCCCAACTCTGTTGTAACTTTGAATGGTTGCTGGATGAATGACTATTAAATGAGAACTATCTGCAGTTTAAAGATTTTACTTTAGCAAAATCATCATCATCATCATCATCATCATCATCACCACAGTAAAAGCAATCCTAGATCTGCCTCTTTAAATATAAGATCTATAATGTGTTAGTAATTGGCTGCTAATTGATTGATTCAACATTGATGATGTAGTTCATAGTATGCTATTTGGGTAGAGTGAATGGTTCAAACAAATCACTGTAATCAAAAATATACTGTGGAGAAGGATGGAAATGAGAAATCACTTTTTCAATAGAGATTCTCATGCATCAAGTCATGGTTGTCTCATGCGTGCTTTTTCCAAAAGGCAACTGGACTTCCTCTGTTTTTTCTCGAAGACTTTTCACTTCTCATCCAAGAAGCTTCTTCAGTTCTGAACTGAAGAAGAACTGAAGAAGCTTCTTGGATGAGAAGTGAAAAGTCTTCAAGGAAAAACAAAGAAAGTTCAGTTGCCTTTGGAAAAAAGCACAATTGGGAGAAGTCACTTTGTTGAACAAAATTTGACCATGTTTAATCCAGGAGCACTCCTTGAAGACTGTAGTTTCCTTTTAGGAAAAAATCTGATGTTGTATGAAATTGATATTCTATTGTTTTTGTCAATAAAAATGGGCATATAATGTCAAATTATTTTTAAGAAATAACCTTTACTGTTAGGTTTTTCAAACATGACTATTTAAGGCTACCATATTTGGGTTGCAAAATCTAGATGCTCATTAAATGGCAGCAAAGATTCAGATTTTTGCAACCTACAAATGGTAATCCAAGATTATTAATAAATTCATGTAATTGCTTCAAGTGAAGCATATTATCATATACTAAAAACTTACCAAAGGTAAATTTCCTTTCTCGCTGGCCAAAGCTATTTTCATTTTTAATAATCTGAGCCAACTGAGAAGACTTGGCTTCATATTTAATAAACGAAATATGTGATTCAAGATTTGTAATGAGAATAGAAATCCTGTCTTCCTGTCTGTATAATAAGCTTCTACATGTGTTGAGATTCATGGCTCAGCATGGTAGCAGGAGGCAAAACAGAAAGTAAAAATGTGAAGATATATTTCCTGTGTCAAAGTGATCATAGTTAGGATGACCGGGTGCAAGAGAATTTAATGCTCATGCACTTTTACTAATTCTGCTGACATTCCTCTTCTAGGCAGTTATTAATGCAATAGAGGTTCTGCCCTCAGTGAACTTGGCCAGATGATTTAGAGCCACTGTTTTGTTTTCACATGATAGTACTACAGGTAATCCTCAACTTACAACAGTTCATTTAGTGACCGTTCGAAGTTACAACGGCACTGAAAAAAGTGACTTATGACTGTTTTTGATACAACTGTTGCAGCATCCCCATGGTCACGTGATCAAAATTCGGATGCTTCGGAACTGCCAGGTATTTATGACGGTTGCAGTGTCCCAGGGTCACGTAATCACCTTTTGCAACCTTCTGACAAGCAAAGTCAATGGGAAAACCAGATTCACTTAACAATCACGTAACTAACTTAACAACTGCAGTGATTCACTTAACAACTGTGGCAAGAAAGGTCTTAAAATGGAGCAAAATTCACTTAACAAATGTTTTGCTTTCTGACAGAAATTGTTGTAAGTTGTGGTTGTAAGTCGAGGACAACTTGTATTCCTCACACTAGATGCCCTGAAACATGGCTGCTTCTTTCTAACAGATATCATTGAGAAGATTAACCTTCTCAAGACCATTAGTATTTCTTTTTCAATGTGGCCCCCACCACCACCACTTCATGAACTCAAGAGTGTTTCAGTGTACTATATTGTAAGAGAAAGTGTGGTTTTTCGAACAAACCTAGCATTCAGAAATCCTGCAGAGGTAGTTTTCAAAAGGACTGATGCCCATGCAAAATGATGATGAGATTGCTCACTAAAAATTGTGCTGACCTGATTTGAATCGTCACAACAACACATATTTCTGGGCTTCATGAAAATTCACCAACTATTTTGCTCCTCCATATATTGTTTAGGAATACTCTTTCAGCCTTTTAGCCCCCTCTGGTGGTTAGATACTCCTTTACTCCACACGTCACACTCATACCAAAGGAAGCCTCTTTACCTTCTTTAAACCATTTCTTGTTTTTTCTTCCAGCAGCTGCAGGTGGTTCCTTTATTCGGCGATATGCAGATAGAGCTGGCCAGATACATTAAGACCAGTGCTCACTATGAGGAGAACAAATCCAAGTGAGTGCCTGCCATAATGTCTCTTGGCTTTGGTGTGTCTTAGTCTCCTCTCCCACTCGTGTGTAAGATCACTGCGTGATTGCCTGTGAGCCTGTGTCCGAGTGGTTAAATGATTGAACATACGAATGAGTGCTTTGCTAAGGATGTATGTCACCATATAAATTTCTTATTTTCTCTTTGCTGTATCTTGAAAGACACTGATTCTATCAATACAGTTAAATGTACCTTACCTCCCTGAAATAAACCAATTCTTCCTTGGTTCCCTAGCTAGGTCCCCCAGTAAGCCCTGAAAATGAAATGAAGAAATAACTCGTGCAGACAGTGCTGTCTTTTAAATGTTGATTCCTCAAGTACTGCCATCTTTGAAATTGAATGTTCTTCAACCTTAATCTCCCTTCCCTGGTATTTTCCGGTTCTTAGACGTCCCAACATCCCAGGCTGTGAGTTTGAACTGATGGAGTGCCTAAAAGCCCCTATTTTTTGATTTACTAAAGAATCAATTCAAGAATAACTCTAGAATTGCTCTGAAGATATAATTAAATCAGATTGTTTTGCCCTTGAAGTGGCAGTCCAGATCTTTTGGGACCTTTCTCTGCTTGGCTACACAGAGATTATTATCTTTTGATGACAAATCCAGGCATGCAGCTGTTGAAAACTTATACCAAATATAATTCTGTTTTATACCAACAGTTTCCAAGCTCAGTGAACTCTGGCTACCATTCAAAATTCCTGCGTTCCTAGAGTTTTCCCCTAAGTCAGGGAGATTTTGCTCCTAAATTTCAACTTTCTTACTTACTCCTTGCTATTTCCATCGTAATTTCAGCTTAAAATCTCATCCAGTCCTTTGGGTAGTGAGGGATGTAGATTTACCTTCCTCAAGCTTCCTCAAGCTTTCATAATGTTCACCAGTCAGGTAGCTAAATATCTCTAAATAGCAAAGTGCTCATAAATTATAGCCATGAAGATGTGTCTTTGGGGATACAGGGAAGAACTGAGAGCAGATCAGTAATTTGCACCAAGAGTTTATGTGTATGCATGGAGGCCAATATCTGAATACTTGTGTGTATAAGAAAGTACTGACTGAGCGGTTTTGATGAAGGTGGAAATAAATGAATGATTGGATTTGTGCAAGTATGTATATGTGAAATATGCTTATCTGGCTGAAAAATGGATATGGGTGTTAATGTATAGGAGTGATGATATACACTGGCAATATATTTGCATATATTAAATTCAGTGTCTGTACTTGTATGTTGACTGTTATTTGTTTACATGCTTGACGGTTGTGAATGTAGGTATGAATGCTCATACTGTGAACGTGTATGTAACCGAGTGTGCCTGCTCTGGGTAGTTTTTATCCACATTTTTTCAATTGGATAGAAAATCCTCCAGAGCATGAACACAGCACTCTATCTGTCCAAAAGGATTCTCAGAATGGGCTTTAGGCAAGACAATAAAAGAAATGTAGCATAAACTCTAATTACTTCCAACTAGAATTGTTTTCAGTGGAATTGTTCATAGGGATGAATGTGGATCTTGGAGAGCGTTTTTAGTGATAGCTTAGAGGGGAGTTATTTATTTATTTATTTATTTATTTATTTATTTATTTATTTTATTTTATTTCATTTCATTTTGAAGCTGCCCAGCTCCCCCTACAAGGATCCTGGTAAATGAAATCACAATTAAGGGTTAAATTATGACCACCTCTCTTGATATGGAATTCTAGTAGGCAATGCTGTCCCCCTGTATTTCAGGCAGCCTCCCCTGTAGCTATTTCTAGTCATGAAGGGTAAGTGTTGCAGTTCAATTTATTGCAAGACGTAAGTCCAACTATACCGAAGATCACAAATTTGATAAAAGCATTGCTGCATGCCTTTCAGTTGGCAGCTTCACTTTCCATTTCACTGCACAACATGGTGACTTTATTTTGAGATAATTACCAAGATTCGAACCAAATAAATAGTTTCGGTTTCTCAAATTTAGATCACAAGGCCAGCAGTCACAGAGTTATTGCTAATAAAAGACAAACACTAACTACTACAAAAAAGAAATCAAGTTATAATTGGATTTCATTACTGGAATTTGTGGTGTTCGTTGGGTGCATATTTATTTCGTTTTATGGTATCTGACTAATGGCTTCCATACTACATAAATTGTGTATGTTGTTTCTCACTCATCATTCTAACCTTTACTCCTATTGCCAAAATAAGTTGGATTTTAAACTCAGCCCAGTCCATGGAAGTATTTAACAATGTGTGTTTAATCCCATTTCTGATCTATCCTACTACATCCCAATAATCAAACTGTAACCTATTTTTTCTTCTCATCTTTACTTACTAACAATTATTTACTTATTCAGTTTCTAAGCAGACCCAGTATCGCCTCCTGTGCCTCTTTCTCCTACCTTGGAGAAGAGATTATGAACACTAACTTGGCTGTACAACAATTGTGGGGTTTTTATGTTCCTGCACATTCATGCCCTTCTTTTCCTTTTTGTCTCTCTAATTCATTTCCATCCTTGTGGTGAGATGTAATTAACTGTGTTTTTTTTCCCTTGTATGGCCTTTTAATTTTGTGTAATGGACTAGATTATATATGGCAGGCTGAGCTAGTACAGCAAAATATCTGATCACCACTGATAACCTGTTGATGATTTCTTTGGGGGAAGCAGTACATTGAAAGGGTAAGAGTAAAGCATTGGATTTCTGAACACCTGGAAATACAATAGGACCTAATCATCACTGTCAACGTAATTAAGAGAATTCCATCTACTTCAATATAACCAAGGAGATCTAGTCCCAGAAATGAGATTTTAAAATATCCTACTCTTTCCAAATAAGCTGCAAATTTTGAATAGAAAAGTTGGCACTTCAGATAGTCTGCATAAATACTCCTTACTGACATTTACCTAGAAGACTAGTTTCTTTGCTACATTTATGAATAATTTGTGGTCATGTAAAGAAAGAAGGAATGAATGGCTAAGTTCAAACTTCATAGAAAACCATGTTAAAGATGTGTCATTATTGATGTCATCTTAAACTGAGAAATGATGAACCTGTAACTAAGACTTAGAAATTCTAATTTGAGGATTTTATAAAACACTTGTTCATTTGTTACTCACTATGATTCTCTGTGTTATCTGAATAGATGAATCATAGCTTAGACCTTGCACTGGGAGCCAGGAAAAGGAAACTATTCTAAACTATGTTTTGCTATTATTTTTATGGTTGCCAGATGTATCAACTGGCAACCATATTTATTTATTTATGGTTGCCAGTTGTCCCTTATTTATTTCCTAATTCCCTTATTTATTTCCTAATTCAATTTTTAACTTTTTAATGTCCTGTATTGGCATAAACCTAGAATGTTATAAATATATGTTAAATAGATCCTACTTTTTGATTCTAGACATCTTTTCCTTATATACTTTTGTTTACAATATATATAGTTTCTTAAAGACCAGTTCTCAAATTCTGTCATGCACTTATTGACTGAATAATTCCGTTTGTCATCTATGGATCTGCTACTTTTACCCCAAATGTAAAACAAGTAAAATAGACATATCGCATATAGGAAAAATTATGAAATTAAATAACACATCTGCCAACAATTATAGTTTTTAGTTGTCAGTTACTGGGTGAGGATCATATCAAAAGACATTGGACCAAATGAGGTATTAGTAGACCATTGGAGCAAAGTTATCTTGAGTAATAGCTATAGGTTCAGGAATGAGTGTTAACTTAAAGACATTGATTTTCTGCCCAGATGGACATGCACTCAGAGCAGCATCAGTCCACAGTATAACATATGTGAGCAGATGGTACAGATCCGGGATGATCATATCCGGTTTATCTCTGAACTTGCTCGCTACAGCAACAGTGAGGTAAGCTTCCATGAAGGCATGTGTTGCACAATCCATGTGTGAAAGAATAAATGTTGAGTGTGTTCTATGGACAAATCAGGATTGCTGCGATTCTGTGTTTGATTAATGGTGTTGGAATGCAAACAGCTTGCCTCTTGGAGATTCTGGTGTTGAATGTCCAACTCTTGTCTATTCCAACCAACAGCATCTCTCCAGATATTCAGAGTAGAAAGATTTTCCTCATTCAAAACCGTGTAACTCTCTCTGTTCTTCTATATCATAGATATATTCTGCCGTCCAATTCTTATTTACTATTTTGTATAGAAAAGTACATGATGCAATATCCCAGGGCCATGTGCAGTCCTAGCACACCCTGTGTGCTACCTGCAAATTTTTTCAAAGGTTGCCTTTAAATTATAAGTTTTTAAATTTAGATGGTGGTGAAAAATATTAAAAAGTAATCTTTGTAATTCTGTTTTCAACTCAACTTAAATATTGGTTAAACCGAATTAGTCTTTGTTCAGACTCCATCTACTTATTTGAATTGTGGATCCACTATACCATTGAAGAATAAATATGAATCTCCTTCTGAAAACAATTAAGAATCCCTAGGTGTTCCTAGGCCTCCCAAATTCCAAATTGTATCATGCTTTTAGTGCTTTCAGATGATGTACTGTTGAGTGCTGTTTCAACCCAGCACCTGTATAGCTTGGATATCTACAGCCTTTCCCATTTCAAAGTTAAAAAACATTCACAATTAATCAGTGGGCAGATGATCGCCTACACAATAGAGGGCGCTATACTACACAACTATACTACACATATATGAACCCAAAGGAGAAGTTATCCTAGATATTCACTGTTCGTCAAAATGTCTGCAAAAGAATTCATTGAAAGTTGCAATAATTAAGAAATTCAGGTGCATTTTTCTGCATTTTTCTCTGTTTGAAGATCTTCCTAGTTTTATCTGAACGTGCAGGAAACTGGATGAATTTAGATAGTTCAGTGTTATCTTTGAGCTATATTGTTTGGGATACGTAGCTGAAGGGCTAGAATATGAAAATGATTGGAGGAATCATTTCACTTTGATGTCAACCATCTGTGTATTTTATCTCAACAGCATTCTAGCAATTCTGGATTTGTAAGCCACCCAGATTCATTGATTGAGATGGGCGGTTATAGAAATTGAGTAAATAAGTCAATCAATTAATTTGTCAGTTCTTCTCCTCATTATCTGCCCATTGATTAACTCTTGTTGATGAATGTTTGCAATTTCTTGCCCAGTTAATGAAAATAGCAACCTGAAGCAACTACAGGAAAAGATTCCTGAGTGAGACAGATGCCTGCTCTTTTTCCAGGTTGTAACGGGCTCAGGACTGGATAGTCAGAAGTCAGATGAAGAATATAGGGAGCTTTTTGACCTGGCTTTACGGGGACTTCAGCTTTTGTCCAAGTGGAGTGCACATGTGATGGAAGTGGTAAGTATTATTTTTTTCTGATAGATTTATTTGCTGAGTTTTAAGGTAAAGCTGCCTTCAGTGTAAGCCAGAGTCTTGAACAAGTTTTAATTTACTTTCCCTCTAAAGCATGCAAAAACCGAAGAGTTATTTAAAGATGCACGTGCCTGTTTACAAAACCTAACTTAAAGAAAACAGAATCTACATATATTGGAGAAATTATGATATAGGCTGAATTTAGGTTTTTTTCCCCCAAGAAATCAGTGTGTTGGATTTTTCCAACTGGATTTTTCTGTTTTTTCTTTTCTCCTTGAAGTATTCTTGGAAGCTGGTCCATCCCACTGATAAGTTCTGTAACAAAGATTGTCCAGGCACTGCTGAAGAGTATGAGAGAGCTACAAGATACAATTATACCAGTGAGGAAAAGTTTGCTTTTGTGGAGGTAGGTGGCTGTATCCCTCATTTTTGCACCAGGGTAGATAGTTTCCTTGAATGGGATGACTCAAACAATCTTGTATTGAAATGGAATATCGGAGGATCCAGACGTTGCCGTCTTCAGTTTACAACTGTCCTGTTTTCTCCACTTGTTCTTGTATTGTTTTTCTTAGCAGAGAAAGTCCACTCGAATCCAGGGCTTCCAGGGTAACAGTGGAAGAGAGCCTTTGGAATGTAGTCCTGAGATTCCATGCAGATGGGCATGCTGTAGTTAAAAGAGCCACACTGACTATTTTTATTCTACTAGGTTATTGCTATGATCAAGGGCCTGCAAGTGCTCATGGGTCGCATGGAGAGCGTCTTCAACCAAGCTATCAGGAACACGATCTACGCTGCTCTGCAGGACTTTGCTCAGGTGACTCTGCGAGAGCCTCTGAGGCAAGCGGTCAGAAAGAAGAAAAATGTCCTCATCAGGTAACTTAATTGGATTCAGTGTCGATTCCTAGAAGCTTTGTAAATACATGGACTCTAATTATTATTTTTCTGCACGTGTACACCCAGAATTAAATTAGCATACATGTTTCTAAGTGCAGGATTGATTCCATGCATGGCTTACAGAAAATGCCAGGCTGAATCTATAGTATTGCCGATTAAAAGGTAGAAAGGTTGGGAAGTACTTAGGCTGCAAGTGTAGAAAACTGGAGGAAGAATAAGCAGTTCCTGGTTAGGTGGATCAATGGTGTCAAGCAAGGCATTTTCAAATACTTGCTGTCCCCAAGAATTTGTATTTAGAAAATCAACTTTCCAGACAGAATCCACATATGCTGGACATTTGGCCAGTAATGTCTCTCTCTTTCATAGAGAAGATCTTGGGAGAACGTGGATTATAGTCATGTCTCTTATAACCAAGAAGCTTTTGCGGTTGTGCTTTTTAGTTTTCTCCAGCTTCTATCGGCTGTTTGGTGGCAGCAGAGCCTCAGATAGAAAGTCCATACAGAGAATGCTAAGGACAGCTGAGAAGATCATACAAAGCTAGCTTCCTGGTATTCAGGATGCTACTTATAAGCGCTATGTGCTTAGAGCTCAAAGCATTGTGAGAGACCCCACACACCTACTTTACAGTCTGTTTCTGTTGCTCCCCTCTGGGAGGAGGTTTCGAAGTATTTGTAGCAGAACTTTGTTCCCTATGGCATCTGTCTGGTAAACTCGCAAGATTCGTTTTTCTCGCAATGCACATGTATAAATAACCTGAACTAGACTGTTGTTTCTCTGTGTCATATAATATATGTGGGTATATGCATAATTCTGTATTTATTTTTGTCATATTTATGTAGTGTATATCAGAGGTGGTGACCTTTGAGAGCTGAATGCAATGAAATTTCATTTTAATGTATGCCGATTAGTGTACATTCAAAGTGAGAATATGTCATGGTTCCAATAGATGAGACAAACTAAAACAGAACTCTGAGGCTTGAGGTTTCCTTTAAGAACATGTTTATTGGCTACAAAGTATCGTCACTGTCAAAAGTGAAACCAAGACTAAAGTTCCCTCCAAAAAGTAACAGTATTACAAAGTTAAACTTCCAACCCCATAACCTATGCAATCAACTACGTTTCCTAATAGAATAGTTTGGTGGGCTTTCTAACAGAAGGCTCAGCCCCCCAGTCTAATGAACAGAAATGGCCTAGGTTCCCACGGGACAGAGAATTATTTAAGCTAGCAGAAAAATTCCACCATTCCCGTCCCATCCTGGTGGCAACCGAAAACGAGCCAAATGGGTTCATTCAGGTTCATTGCAGAGTTGACACAATAATTATTATTCTATTCTATTCTATTCTATTCTATTCTATTCTATTTTCATTCAATAAACTATCAGAACATTTTGTTTCTCCTATTCTCACCACCACCACCGCTTCCAGCAACGCACACAATCTCTTTGTCTGTGTATATGAATGTGTGTGTATGAATGTGTGTCTGTAAATGAAGACAATCTTCATTCATCTGCTGCTTTATACTGAATGGATTAGCAACTGAAATTAGTCTTTTAATGTGATATGTGATGTTTAACACTTTTACATGACAAAGTAGTAGAGCTTTTCTGTATTAATTAGTGTTGATGCTATCAGGTTTGTATGATATCCCTAAAGCGTCATGCAGTACTTACATAGTTATATTTGTACTTCATATTTAAGTTGATTATTTAGGCTTAGCTATAAACACAGCAATTCAGCACAATGATAGATCCGCTCTTCACCTTCCCAGTGTTCTTCAGGCAATTAGAAAGACAATCTGTGATTGGGAGGGAGGACGTGAGCCTCCAAACGATCCCTGTCTGAGAGGGGAGAAAGATCCCAAAGGGGGTTTTGATATCAAAGTCCCACGACGAGCTGTTGGGCCTTCAAGCACCCAGGTATGTGTTTCTTTATTAAGAAGATGCAGGTTAATTTATCAACCAGATGTTTAGAATAGGTGTTTTTTTTATTATACTGTTCAGTTTCACACTGAAAAAATAAAGACTCAGCTTTCCATCCTTCCGAGGTCGGTAAAATGAGGACCCAGATGTTGGGGGCAATATGCTGACTCTGTAAACCGCTTAGAGAGGGATGTAAAACACTGTGAAGTGGTATATATTATAAATCTAAGTGCTATTGTTATTGCTATGTTGATATGTTGAGGCTCTAGAAAGAGTGCAGAGAAGAGCAACAAAGATGATTAGGGGACTGGAGGCTAAAACATATAAAGAACGGTTGCTGGAGTGGGCTATATCTAGTTTAATGAAGAGAAGGACTAGGGGTGACATGATAGCAGTGTTCCAATATCTCAGGGGTTGCCACAAAGAAGAGGGAGCAAAGCTATTCTCCAAAGCACCTGAAGGCAAGACAAGAAGCAATGGATGGAAACTAATCAAGGACAGAAGCAACCTAGAACTAAGGAGAAATTTCCTGACAGCTAGAACAATTAATCAGTAGAACAACTTGCCTCCAGAAGTTGTGAATGTTCCAACACTGGAAGTTTTTAAGAAGAGATTGGACAACCATTTGTCTGAAGTGGTATAGGGTTTCCTGCCTGAGCAGGGAGTTGGACTAGAAGACCTCCAAGGTCCCTTCCAACTCTGTTGCTCTATTCTATACTTTTTGGCGGTCACTTAACATGTGCTGCAAAAAACTATCATAAAATGGATTGGTCATATGATCCGCCAGCTTTACGACTGTCACATCTTACAACTGTACCGGGAAGTCTCCATTACAGTCATAACTTAAATATCACCTGTATTCTATTATTTATCCACTTGTACATATCAGGGACTTCCTTTCTCCTTTGAAACAGATTGTTATGACTGTAATAGTAGTAGCAAACCTTCTGTGTTCCAAAATAAATCTGCTTTTCCACTGAGATCAAGAAGGGAAATCCTGTTGAGATTCCCATCTCCAAGTGAATTCCACCTTTCAGATTCCTTTGAGCAATAGTACATCCTCAATAGTACATCCTCAGCTGTGGAATAGCTGATATGGACTGACAACCACCTCTCTTCTCAGTTTCCAGTGAATGTCAATAATGTTCTCAAGTTACAACCACAATTGAAACTGGAATTTCAGTCCTAAATTGTGACAGTTGTAAGTCAAGGTACCCATGTGACTAGACCTGATTTTACAACCATTTTTATGGGGAGCTCATTAAATGAATCATATAGTTGTAAGGGCTAACTCTTTCTCCCGAATGTATGGTTTTTGCCAGAAACCAATGTACAACATCAGAAGCTGGCAAAAAAAGAAGCAAATCATGGTCACATGATTGCAGGATGCTGCGACCAGTCATAAATGGAAACTAGCTGCCAAGTACCCGAAAGTGGTCATGTGACCAACAGGGGAGCAGTGTGACATTTTATGACAGCACATTCCCAAGGCCCTTATAAACATTGTAACTCCAAATTGTTGTTAAACAACTGGTATTAAGTTGAAGATTACCTGCACTATTATTTGTACATGATGAGTATTATTACTTACAAAGGGATTACTGTAATAACAACCATCAGCATATCATTTCAGCTTTATATGGTGAGGACCATGCTAGAATCCCTCATTGCAGACAAGAGTGGTTCAAAAAAGACTCTTAGAAGCAGCCTGGATGGACCAATAGTTCTGGCCATTGAAGAATTCCATAAACAGTCCTTCTTCTTTACACATCTTCTCAATATAAGTGGTAAGTAGCAACATCAAGCCTGAAATAAATAACCTAGACAGAATTAGCTTGTCAAGAGTTAGTTTGTCAATAATAGCCAGCTCTGGAGCAATGAATTTTCAGTTCATTGTGATTATATTAAAGAATTATTAGAACTGGGTGTGAGCTTGAAATAAACTGTTAGTCAAATTGTTTAGTTTTTTTTAAATAAATCATGATCTTATTCTTGTAAGAAAACAGTCTAATTTTATATATTCATATATTCAATTTTATGGGTTCAAATATGCTGTTACATTATCTCCATGTAATATTTGTAACATGGAGTTGTTGTATTCACACACTCTGCAATTTATTTTTTTATGCTGTATGCATTAAACCTGTCTTGCAGTTTATTTTGTGGAATATTATATGCTTTCACTTAACACTTTTACATTGGGAAAATGTTTTATGTTTTCAGAAGCCCTCCAACAGTGCTGTGATTTATCCCAACTTTGGTTCCGAGAATTTTTTCTGGAGTTGACCATGGGTCGCCGAATTCAGTTCCCTATTGAGATGTCAATGCCATGGATTCTAACTGATCACATCCTGGATACCAAAGAACCCTCCATGATGGAGTAAGAACTCCAGGATGATATATGCAATGTATCTGTGGGTGTCTTTGTGATAATACTTGAAGGAATTTGATTTAATTCAAATTCAGCTTTCTGCTCGTGACAGGGAGCAGTAATCAGTCTCCCTGATCAGATTCTGTTGCATCTGCCAATCTCTTTTGAAGGATAATTTACTTTTATTTATTGCATGTGGTCTAGTGGTACCCTCACCAAGAGGAGTGAACGGGCTGAAGTGTTCTTAAATGACAATCTGTTTCATATAGCATAAAGGAATTATGAAGTGACTTGTATAAAGAGATTTTTAAGGATGTAAGGAAAAATTGATGATAGGAAATAATTTATGAGCAGTCTAGTAGATGGGCACTTGGCTGATAGATGCTAATATAAATGTTGCAAATGAATGAATTCATAGGCAGTTGCGATTGGCTGGATTCCATTGTGGCAGGGCTTACAAAATACCATTTTATGCATGAAGAAATTTTTTTATACAGCCAGAGGGATTGTAAGCAAATATTGATTCTTGATGCATACAATTAAGAAAGCTTGCTTTAATATTGTATCAAATTTTATGCATGCTAACCCCAAACCGCTGGTTTTTAAATTAAATTGCATTTTAGAATTTCTACAATAGTTGAGACAAATGTTTGCCCAAAGATGTCTCTGCTGACAGATAATGAGCCTATTTCATTCATTGCAGGTATGTGCTCTACCCACTGGACCTCTACAACGACAGCGCATATTACGCTTTGACCAAGTTTAAAAAGCAGTTTCTCTATGATGAAATTGAAGCAGAAGTGAGTTCTCTCCGCATTATTTTCGTTAATTATTAATATCAAACATTTGATTTGTTTTACTTATTGCCTCACTTCAACTTTTATGCCTGTTATTCTAAAGCCCATTTCTGGTTCTTTTTCTATCAGGTGAACTTGTGTTTTGATCAATTTGTGTATAAACTGGCAGATCAAATCTTTGCTTACTATAAAGCAATGGCTGGCAGGTATGAAGCCTCTGTTGGTTTGGGGAGCATTGCATCAGCTATTCATGTTCTTCTGTATGCATAAACTAGTTCCTGAGCTGAAGGATGTGTGGTGACATTACAAGAAGTAGACATAGCTGGAAACTGATGGGAAAAGATTGTTCATACTCAAACATGATAGCAGTAATTCATGGCAAACCTTTGCATAGCATTGCTTCTTACTGAGTGATCAATCCTTCTTCAGCAATTAAAAATCAACTGGTTGACTAATATCACTAAAATCTGTTTTACATCAGGAAAACCAGTCTCCTTTACTATCAAAATGGTAGCTGCTTCTAGACTATTTCATCTTTCCACGTATGATTCACATAATTAATTTGGCAATTCACATTGTCTTGATAAATTATTGGTTTTGATTTCTGCTAATGAGCCAATACCTTTCCAATGTAGCTTAACAAGAAATCTTAGATATTGGAAACATTCTTTCCACGACCAAAAAAATCAAGTTTTCAGATTTATATTATGATGATGATTATAGTAATAATATTCCTGACTAACCATCTTTTCATACTAACACTGAATGAACAATATATAGGAAATAATAAGACATAGGTTCTTGTAACCCTACTCAGAAAAGCATTTAAAATTTGTGGAGAGAAAGCAAGAATTGCTTCCATGTCAGTTTCTACCTTCAGCCTTCTTCTGTCTTATTTGTTTCTTCATTATCCCTTAATGCAAGCACTAGATCTTATTATATAGCTGTTCTTTTCACTGACATCTTGAGAATAAGTGAATTGCGGTAGTGAAGAGGCAATCAAGTAAAGATTCTTATGAGTATTTTCCATTTGCAGTGTTTTACTGGATAAGCGCTTCCGGGCTGAATGTAAAAATTATGGGGTGATTATCCCTTACCCACCATCCAATCGCTNGATCCCTGTCTGAGAGGGGAGAAAGATCCCAAAGGGGGTTTTGATATCAAAGTCCCACGACGAGCTGTTGGGCCTTCAAGCACCCAGGTATGTGTTTCTTTATTAAGAAGATGCAGGTTAATTTATCAACCAGATGTTTAGAATAGGTGTTTTTTTTATTATACTGTTCAGTTTCACACTGAAAAAATAAAGACTCAGCCTTCCATCCTTCCGAGGTCGGTAAAATGAGGACCCAGATGTTGGGGGCAATATGCTGATTCTGTAAACTGCTTAGAGAGGGATGTAAAACACTGTGAAGTGGTATATAATATAAATCTAAGTGCTATTGTTATTGCTATGTTGATATGTTGAGGCTCTAGAAAGAGTGCAGAGAAGAGCAACAAAGATGATTAGAGGACTGGAGGCTAAAACATATAAGGAACGGCTGCTGGAATTGGGTATGTCTAGTTTAACGAAGAGAAGGACGAGGGGGGACATGATAGCAGTGTTCCAATATCTCAGGGGTTGCCACAAAGAAGAGGGAATCAAGCTATTCTCCAAGGCGCCTGAGGGCAGAACAAGAAGCAATGGGTGGAAACTAATCAAGGACAGAAGCAACCTAGAACTAAGGAGAAATTTCCTGACAGCTAGAACAATTAATCAGTAGAACAACTTGCCTCCAGAAGTTGTGAATGTTCCAACACTGGAAATTTTTAAGAAGAGTTTGGACAACCATTTGTCTAAAGTGGTATAGGGTTTCCTGCCTGAGCAGGGAGTTGGACTAGAAGACCTCCAAGGTCCCTTCCAACTCTGTTGCTCTATTCTATCCTATATGGTGGTCACTTAACATCTGCTGCAAAAAACTATCATAAAATGGGCTGGTCATATGATCCACCAGCTTTACGATTGTCACATCTTACAACTGTACCGGGAAGTCTCCATTACAGTCATAACTTAAATATTATCTGTATTCCATTATTTATCCACTTGTACATATCAGGGGCTTCCTTTCTCCTTTGAAACAGATTGTTATGACTGTAATAGTAGTAGCAAACTTTCTGTGCTCCAAAATAAATCTGTTTTTCCACTGAGATCAAGAAGGAAAATCCTGTTGAGATTCCCATCTCCAAGTGAATTCCACCTTCCAGGTTCCTTTGAGCAGGCCTACTCAATAGTACATCCTCAGCTGTGGAATAGCACATATGGACTGACAACCACCTCTCTTCTCAGTTTCCAGTGAATCTGAATAATGTTCTCAAGTTACAACCACAACTGGAACTGGAATTTCAGTCCTAAATTGTGACAGTTGTAAGTCAAAGTACCTATGTGACTAGACCTGATTTTACAACCATTTTTATGGAGAGCTCATTAAATGAATCATATAGTTGTAAGGGCTAACCCTTTCTCCCGAATGTATGGTTTTTGCCAGAAACCAATGTACAACATCAGAAGCTGGCAAAAAAAGAAGCAAATCATGGTCACATGATTGCAGGATGCTGCGACCAGTCATAAATGGAAACTAGCTGCCAAGTACCCGAAAGTGGTCATGTGACCAACAGGGGAACAGTGTGACATTTTATGACAGCACATTCCCAAGGCCCTTATTTATTTATTTATTTATTTATTTATTTATTTATTTTGATTTATATCCCGCCCTTCTCCCAACGGGACTCAGGGCGGCTCACAACATATTTAAAAACATAGACATATTTACAACCCCCACCAGATAAAACCAAATTAAACCAATATTTAAAGTTGTGTAGTTAAAATTATTCTTAAAAAACCCGATTTAAAATCCTCCCTAGGCCAGGCCCGCTTGCTGGAAAAGCCATGTCTTGAGGGCGCGGCGGAAAGTAAGGAGATCCGGAATCATCCGGATCTCGGGGGGTAGTTCGTTCCAGAGGGTGGGGGCACCCACAGAGAAGGCCCTCCCCCTGGGGGGTCGCCAGCCGACACTGCTTGGCCGACGGCACCCTGAGGAGACCCACTCTGTGGGAGCGTACCGGTCTATGGGAGGGAATCTGTGGCAGAAGGCGGTCTCGGAGATAGCCAGGTCC